ACTGAGAGAGTTTCCCTGTAGCCCGGAACGATTCTACCTTTCTTTAGTGATGTTCTTGATAGAGTGGTCATCTGTCTAGAGCGGTCACCTGTTTATAGGGATCATCTGTCTGGAGTGGTCATCTGTCTAGAGTGGTCATCTGTCTAGAGTGGTCATCTGTCTAGAGCGGTCACCTGTTTATAGGGATCATCTGTCTAGAGTGGTCATCTGTCTAGAGTGGTCATCTGTCTAGAGTGGTCATCTGTCTAGAGTGGTCATCTGTCTAGAGTGGTCATCTGTCTAGAGTGGTCATCTGTCTAGAGTGGTCATCTGTCTAGGCGTCACCTGTTTATAGGGATCATCTGTCTGAAGTGGTCATCTGTCTAGAGTGGTCATCTGTCTAAAGTGGTCACCTGTCAAAGAGAGGAAGGGGCAGGCGGGAGATAAAATGGAAGGGGGCGGTAGTGAGGGACCAAACCTAAGGAGGGGGGTGGAGGATTGAGGGGAGAGGAAGGGAGGGAGAGGAAGGAGAGAGGAAGGAGAAGGGGTGACACTGTTTCCTGAAGATGAGTGGAAATCCCCGGATGTTATGTTATTATTAATCTCCCCTCCCCCTACCCTTCACCTCCCCCCTCTACCCCAAACCCCTTTTTTCTTCTTTGTTTTATCTAATTATAATAATCATTACCCAAGGACATGACGTACGAGTTGAAAAAAAAATCCCCCCCTCTCCACCCCCTCCCACTCTTTCTCTTCACCCCTCCTCCTCACCCTTCCTATCCTCCTCACCCCGTTCACCCCTATTTCACTCCCAAGAAAGAAAGAAAGAAAGGAATGAATGAATGAAGGAAGGAATGAATGAAGGAAGGAATGCATGAAGAAGTGAAGGAAGGAGGAATGAATGAATGAAGGAAGGAAGGAATGCATGAAGAAGTGAAGGAAGGAGGAATGAAGGAAGGAAGGACCATTAGCAACACACCTCACATATAGAACATGACTATAGATCCCAACTCATTAAATCAGTTGACTGGAACATGTTACATAAACGATACCTCACAGTGATCTCCTTGATGATGGACGTGACCCGTTTTACGAGATGTGACCCGTTTTGCGATATACATGACCCGTTTTGCGATATATGTGACCCGTTTTGTGATATACATGACCCGTTTTGTGATATATGTGACCCGTTTTACGACACAGATGACCTAATTTATTGATACATCCTCCAATGGTATCAAGCTTATCTCTCTTATCAACAACACTGATACAGTATATCCTACCACATACAACATGAATCAACCAACATACACTCACCAAACCCAAGACATTCACCATTAACATTTCTGAAACATTCAACATTCTTGCTCAAAGGGACCAATTGAGTCAATGAATGTTTGTTTGTTTGCTTCTAATATGTGTTCAGTTCTGGTATTATTTGGTAAGACTCTTTATGGTAATTAATTCTTTTATACATACATACATATTTATATATATATACATATATACATACAGGTACATACATACATACACACACGTGACATCCCCACACAAACGAGTTCGTCTACACCTCCCACACACAATTACCTCATCCCAGACAGCTCAGGAGAGAGAGAGAGAGAGAGTATCAGAAGACATTTGATCAAAAACATAGGAGCATTGAAGATCCATTGGCAATAATAATAATAATAATAATAATAATAATAATAATAATAATAATAATAATAATAATAATAATAATAATAATAATAGATTAGGTAAGTGTAGTTTTGGTTAGGTTAGGTTTAAATTTGGTTGAATAATTTGTCCTACAACATGGCCACACCTCGCTCCTAATCCCCTTCGTCCGTAGGGAAAGGGAGGGGTGAGGGAGGGAAGGGGTGAGGGAGGAAAGGGGGGAGATAGGGGAGGATAAGGGAGCGGAGGGGTGAGGAAGGGAGGGAGAGAGGGAGGGAAGGGAAGTAGGGAGGGAGAGGTAGAATGTAGGCAGCAGGAAGGTGACACATCCGGGAGCTCCCCCTCCCCTTCCCCCACTCCTCTCCCTTCCTCCCCCCTTTCATTATCTCCCCTTACCCCCACCTCCCCCTCTTCTCCTCCCCTTTTAATCATATCCCTTTTCTCCTCTCATCATCCATCCCTTCCTTTCCTCCATTCACCCTTCCATCATCACCCCTTCTCTCCCACCCCTCCTCTTTGCCTCTCCCTTCAATCACATACCCTTCTTCCTCCCCTCTCATCTCTATTCTTCCCCCTCCTCCTCTTCCATCACACCCCCCACCCATCCTCTCCTCCCCTTCCATCATACACCCCTACTCTCCCTCCCTACCTCGCCACGTGTACCATCAGGCCTGCCAACCTGATGGTGGCATCTTTACTCCCTCACTGCGTCCCCCTCACACTCTCCCTCACTCCCTCTCCTATTTCAGGTGGTTAGGTTAGGTTAAGGTGGGTGTTTAATCTTCAGGTGATCCGAATAATAGTCTATTATTTCGCGGAACTGAATATAATATAACCTTATGATCCAGTAATACTGTTGAAAACTACATCAGGTGTTATTGATAGAGGAGGGGGAGGGGGGTGAGGGAAGGGGAGGGGGTGTAGAGAAGGGTAGGTGATGGGAGGGGAAGGGAGGGGTGTAAAGAAGGGGGAGAGGGGAAGGGGAGGGGAGTGAAGGGAGGGGGTGTACAGGTGCGCCGAGAATACACACACCTGTCCTGCAGTGTGTAATTGTTCATACCAAACTTACGTCTCTTTCTCTGTGTATATATATCAGGTAACACAGGTGGTGGAAGGTAATGGTAGTAGGTGCTGGTAGTAGTGGTAGGTAGTGGTGGTAGGTGCTACTGGTGGAAGGTAATGGTAGTAGGTGCTGGTAGTAGTGGTAGGTAGTGGTGGTAGAGATGGTGGTAGGTAGTGGTCGTGGTAGGTAGTGGTCGTGGTAGGTAGTGGTCGTGGTAGGTAGTGGTCGTGGTAGAGATGGTGGTAGGTAGTGGTCGTGGTAGGTAGTGGTCGTGGTAGGTAGTGGTCGTGGTAGGGGAGAGGGGACTATGGACACAGTCTCTCAAAGTCTCAACCATAAAACATTTATATAAACATTTTGACATATACGCCCCCGTCTCTCTCTCTCTCTCTCACTGTAGAAATAGTTCCCTCCCTCTTGTCTCTCTCTCTCTCACTTACTGTAGAGATAGTTCCCTCCCTCTTGTCTCTCTCTCATCGAGTTATAGTATTGAGATAGAGAGAGACAAAGAAAGAAAGAGGAGGGAAGAGAAGAGAAGGGAGAAAGAAAACAAGACACACACACACAAAGCAAGAGAGAGGGAGAAAGAGAGAGAGGGGGAAGAGAGATAAAAGAAAGAGAGAGAAGCTCATACACAGAGTAGAAGAGGAAGAATGAAACATGAATAAAAGAGACAAAGTAGAGAAAAGAAAAGAGAGAGAGAGAGAGAGAGAGAGAGAGAGAGAGAGAGAGAGAGAGCTGACACGTCTCTTCAAATCCGGGACTGAACACATCTCAATAATTGAAGGTTCGGACTTTTAAAACCAATGAAAGTTGAAAACGCATCAGAGTGTGAAACTATCTCTCTCTCTTTTCCTTTCTATTCTTTCTCTCTCTCTCTCTTTTCCTTTCTATTCTCTCTCTTGCTCTCTCTCTCTCTCTCTCTCTCTCTCTCTCGATAATTCAATGCCTGTCCGTCTGCCTATATATCTGTTTATCTATTCGCCCACTTGTATGTATGTATGTATGTATGTATGTATGTATGTATGTATGTATGTATGTATGTATTATGTATGTTTACAAAATAACACTCTGGAACGAAGAGAAGAGGAAGTACAACAAGACAAAGGGAATAGAGAAGGATGGGAAGAAACAAGAGAAGAAGCATAGAGCCGACAACTGTAGAGGAGGAAGACTTAGAGAAGACACCTTAACTTACCTGTAATTAGTAAGGTATTGATGAAGGAATCCAATGACGTCACGATGACAACCGATGACGTCATGTTTGTTTACCATTCCCCTCTCCCTACCTTCCCTCCCCTCCCTCTCTCCCTCACTCCTCCCTTGTTTTCCTCCTCTCCTTCACCCCTCCCTCACTCCCTTTCCTCACTCCCCTCCCCTCCCTTTCCTCCTCCCTAGGGCCTAACAGCTGGGTGATTCACCCCTTTAACTGCTAATTCCTAATACTTATCTCTGCTACCACTGCCCCCCCCACCTCCCCCTTCTGACACTCCCCCACCCCCCTGCTGACACCTATCCCCCCGCTGACACCTATTCCCCTTGCTGACGTCTCTCCCCTGCTGACACCCAGCTTAATGTCAGTTGTAAATAATTATATCTAGTGCCACAAAGCTGGCTGAAGATATCCACGTTCGACGTCATTAAGCTGAAGATATCGTCTGACGTCACCAACAACCCACCATTCTCCTCAATGAACCACCATTCTCCTCCCCCAACAACCACCATTCTACCTCCCAACAACCACCATTCTACCTCTACCCATCTCTCCAACAACCACCATCTACCACTCCACATTCTCCCCCTAACAATCTTCCACCATTCTCCTCCCAACAACCACCATTCTCTCACCATTCTACCTCTCCCAACAACCACCATTCTACCTCCCCAACAACCACCATTCTACCTCCCCAACAACCACCATTCTACCTCCCCAACAACCACCATTCTACCTCCCCAACAACCACCATTCTACCTCCCCAACAACCACCATTCAACCACCGCATGGGATCATTCGCCAGGTTCTGAAATGAGTTCTTGTGAGGTGTTGAGACTGGCGTAGTCCTCTCGTAGTCATGGCAACTAATAGTGAGGGGAAGGGGGGTGAGGAGGTGGGGGGGGAGGAAAGGTGTGTGGGAGGAGAGGGAGTCGAAGATATAATTAAGGTGGGGGGAGATGAGATGGAAGAGAGAGAGAGAGAGAGAGAGAGAGAGAGAGAGAGAGAGAGAGAGAGAGAGAGATAATATTTCCCACACTCCAACACACACAAGTTAACGAGCCGTGAATGGCCAGTAAGTCAGTGACCTCACGAAATCCAGCACTATGACGTCACGAACCACGAGATCCAGCGCTATGACGTCACGAACCACGAGATCCAGCGCTATGACGTCACGAACCACGAGATTCGGGTTAGGTTAGGTTAGGAGGTAAATGAGTAGGTAAAGAAGAAGAAACTGATAATGAGAGACAAGAGGAGACACAGAGAAGAGAAAAATAGGAGAGAATATGAATCATTAAATAAAATCTCCAATGGACCCGAATTGGTGTCAAATGAATGCGGGCGCTGGAGGGGGGGTGGGGAGCCTGGGGAGGGGGGGGTCAGGTTGTGGAGTTGGGGAGGAGGAGAAAAGACCCAGTTGTTGTCTTGGGGAGGTGAAGTGAGGTACTGCGGGTTGAGTAACAGAAGGAGGTATCAGAAGGAGGTACTGGTGAAGGAGGTACTGGTGAAGGAGGTACTGGTGAAGGAGGTACTGGTGAAGGAGGTACTGGTGAAGAAGGTACTGGTGAAGGAGGTACTGGTGAAGAAGGTACTGGTGAAGAAGGTACTGGTGAAGGAGGTACTGGTGAAGAAGGTACTGGTGAAGGAGGTACTGGTGAAGGAGGTACTGGTGAAGGAGGTACTGGTGAAGGAGGTACTGGTGAAGGAGGTACTGATGAAGAAGGTACTGGTGAAGAAGGTACTGGTGAAGGAGGTACTGATGAAGAAGGTACTGGTGAAGTAGGTACTGGTGAAGAAGGTACTGATGAAGAAGGTACTGGTGAAGAAGGTACTGGTGAAGAAGGTACTGGTGAAGAAGGTACTGGTGAAGGAGGTACTGGTGAAGTAGGTACTGGTGAAGAAGGTACTGATGACGAAGGTACTAGTGAAGGAGGTACTGGTGAAGTAGGTACTGGTGAAGGAAGTACTGGTGAAGGTGAAGACTGAGAGAGGTGTTGTACTGTGCATCAAGGTGGGTCGTTGTCTCCACTGGTCACCTGAGGACAGCACGGGAGGACAGTGTTGAGGTGGTAATAGGGAGGAAAAAGTGGACAGCGGGGAGAAAAAAACAGCCGGAGGAAATGCCAGGGGGAGGAGTGGTGTGGGGAGAGGGAGGAGAGTGGGAGAGGGGGAAGGAAAGGGTTGGGGAGAGGGGAAGAGACAAAGGAGAGGGAGGGGGCGAAGGATGGAGGGGGTGTTAGAGAGATGAGGATAGGAGAGAGGGAATAAGAGGAGAGGGGGAGAAAGGGAAGAGGGAGGAAGTGGGAGGGGGAGGATGAGGACAAAAAGAAAGGGGAGGAAGAGGGAGTGGGGAGGATAAGATGAAGAGAGGAGGTTAGGTTAGATAAGGTTAGGTTAGGTTAGGGAGTGGGGGGTAATCTTCGCAAAACACTAATGCTGTTGACTGATGGAAAGCGGAAGTAGCTCCTCAGTGTCTTCCCGTGACCGAATTTTTTCAAGGGAGAGGGTGCGTGAAGTGAGGTAAGAGGAGGGGAGGTGTGGGAAAGTGGGAGAGAGAGAGAGAGAGAGAGAGAGAGAGAGAGAGAGAGAGAGAGAGAGAGAGAGAGAGAGAGAGAGAGAGAGAGAGAGAGAGAGTTTTTAATTTAGTTTAACAAATTTATTGACAAAGCTTGTAGTACAGTTTGCCTATTCTGAGTAATTCAGTCAGGTTTTGACACTGAGGGTGGTATCACTTCTCACTGCCACGCAGGACAGAGGTTCATACACAAAGGAATACATCATATTCATTAACAACTATAAATGTATATAGGTCAGATTCATGTGGGTAATGCCACTGTTCACTGCCATGCAGGACAGAGGTTCGTACACAAAGAAGGAAATACATCATATTCATTAGCAGTATATATAGGTCAGTGGATCACATACATTGGAGTCATATTCTAATTGAAGACTAATCAGTGTGGGCCAGCAGCAAATTTGGGATAAACAGCAAGAATGTCCTCAAGCACCCCTGATTCAATGTAGTAATTACAAAGTTCATGATACAATAAGCCAGGTGGCCTTAAGTCTTTGACAGTGTCACATTCAATAATATAGTGTTCAAGTGTATGCTTTAAAGGTTTATCACAACGTTTACATGCTGAGTGTTCCGGTATGGGTACAGCGTTACTAACCTGCCAGATGTGTCTGTATTCTAGCCTAATTCTGGCCACGACGACATCACATTGTCTGGTTCTTTCCTTATGCTGGCCATACCGAGAGAGGAGATAGAGGAAGGAGAAGTGAGAGAGATGATAAATAGTGAGACAGATGAATGAATGATAGACGTGTAAGCATATGAGAAGGAAAGAAGGAAAGGGGGGAGAGGGGAGGTAAGGAGAGAGAGAAGTCCTACACCTAGCTGTTATGTACACACGGGGAGCAACAAGTGTAGCAGAAAGACCAACACAACTTAGGGACGCATTCACTTACCTCTACCACCCGTGAGAGAGAGAGAGAGAGAGAGAGAGAGAGAGAGAGAGAGAGAGAGAGAGAGAGAGAGAGAGAGAGAGACAAAGACACACAAGGTTACAACAGACCACAACACCCGGTCTTGGAATTACCTGTATCAATAACTTAAAAACTTGTCCTTGTAATTATCCATATACCTGTACGTACGTGGGAGGTTAATAAAAAAAAATAACGCCTTAAATCACACGTAAATCACCATCTATTTTCCTTCTTTCCTCCCCCTCCTCAAGAGAAATCACCACTCAATGTTCACAGGTTAAAAACTTCACACATTCAATAACACGTCAATCACCGTCTACTTTTCCCACTCCTCCCTCAAGAAAAATCACTACTTAAGTGTCACAGGTAATTTTAACGTGTTATTTACCTGTCTGGGTTTAAATTACGAGTTCACAGGTAATTGCATCTCATGATTTACCTGTCTGGGTTTAAATAACGTTGGCAATGTTATTTAAACCCAAGCGGATGAAATAACCTGTGATTGACGACAGACAGACAGACGCGCACACGAACACGCATACACACACACACACAATTCCTAGAAAATATGTCATGACGAAACTTCCAGGGTAAAGTATTTAAACTTTTGATGACACGTTGAAACTTTTCGTTAAACTACCTCGTTGAAACTTCGTTGTGTAACTTTTGTGAAACTCCTCGTTCATAAGACTTTTACTTCGTTAAGTAACCTTTCTGAACTTCTCGTTCGTTAAGTTGATGAAACACTATATGTCATTTCGGTTCTTTAATTAGAACGCATCTCTGAACTTCTGGGCAACACACTTCGTTAAACTTACATCCGTTTAACGAATCCCTCGCCCTTCTTCGGTAAACCTACACCATTTTAACGAGCCCCTTATCCCTCTTCGTTAAACATACACCCGCTTAACGAACCCCCTTTATCCCTCTTCGTTGAACAATACGTTAAAACTTCCTCCTGAGTATTTATGACGAGTCTCTTCGTTGAAACTCAGCTGAAGTAATTCGTTGAACCAGACTGAATTAATACTGGGAGTTATGAATCACTATTATATAAGACTCTGTAAACTGTGCTGTGTACGTTAATAATACCTACATGTGTGCATATGTTATGTACGTTAATAGTACCTACATGTGTGTATATTTATACATTTGTCTTCTCCCAACCCCAATCCTTTCCTCCCATTCATTAAGTGAGAGAGAGAGAGAGAGAGAGAGAGAGAGAGAGAGAGAGAGAGAGAGAGACTAAGGTGCTGATCAGAATACCTGGACGACAATCACCTCATACTTCAGTGGCTTCCGTGTCCCGGCCCAGGTGTTGTTGTTGTTTTGGTGAAGTGTTTTTGTTATTGTTGAAATGTTGTCATTGTTGTTGCTGTTGTGGTGGTAGTGAGATGTTGTTGTGGTGGTGGTGGTGATAAGATGTTGTTGTTGTCTGTATTTGTTATTGATGTTGTGAGGTGTTGTTGTTATTGTGTGTGTTTGTTATTGTTTTGGTGAGGTGTTGTTGTTATTGTTGAAATGTTGTCATTGTTGTTGTGTGCGCGTGTTTGCTGTTATTGTATGTGTGTGTGTGTGTGTGTATCTGTCTATCTACCTGTCTGTCTGAGTGTATGTGTACCAATTAGCCAAATGACTAATCGAGAGAGAGAGAGAGAGCCTAAAGTAACACAGTACTATATAGTGACCAATAAGGGCATTACCAGAGCCGTGCATCACACCGCCAGAGCCACTCACCTGAATCAATACAGTCCCGTGTGTTACGTAAGTGTGCACGCCCCGTATACCTGTCCATCCGTGCCTACCTGTTACTAGTACTCCGCCACAAGGTCAACACCGTGTTATATAGCAGCGATGATGAGGATGACAATAATAATAATAAAAGTAATAATAGTAATAATAAAAATAATAATAAAGTATCTAGCTACACACACACACACACACACACACACACACACACACACACACACACACACACACACACATAAGTCACCTGTTTTGGGACGACTCACGCCTGTCCTTGGTCGACCTTCTGCCTCAGGTTCATGACCGGGGCCGGTACAGAGCGATACAGCAGGACGGTACAGTAGCAGCAGGCCGGTACAGCAGCAGCAGGCCGGTACAGCAGCAGCAGGACGGTACAGTAGCAGCAGGCCGGTACAGTAGCAGCAGGCCGGTACAGCAGCAGCAGGACGTACAGTAGCAGCAGGCCTGGTACAGCAGCAGGACGGTACAGTAGCAGCAGGACGGTACAGTAGCAGCAGGCCGGCACTGCAGCAGCAGGCCGGTACAGTAGAGCGATACAGCAGGACTGGTACAGTAGCAGCAGGACGGTACAGCAGCAGCAGGACGGTACAGCAGCAGCAGACGGTACAGTAGCAGCAGGCCGGTACAGCAAGGGCGGAGCTGGTACAGTAGAGCGATACAGCAGGACGGTATACAGTAGCAGTAAATGCACAGCAGCAGGACGGGTACAATAGCAGCAGGACGGTACAGCATCAGCAGGCTGCGCAGCAGGCCGGTACAGTAGAGCGATACAGCAGGGATGTACAGCAGCAGCAGGCCGGTACAGCAGCAGCAGGACGGTACAGTAGCAGCAGGACGGTACAGTAGCAGCAGGCCTGTACAGCAGGCAGCAGGACGGTACAGCATCAGCAGGACGGCACAGTAGCAGCAGGCCGGTACAGCAGCAGCAGGGACGGGTACAGCAGCAGCAGGGACGGTACAGCAGCAGCAGGACGGTACAGCAGCAGCAGGCCGGTACAGCAGCAGCAGGACGGGTACAGCAGCAGCAGGACGGTACAGCATCAGCAGGACGGTACAGCAGTAGTAGGACGGTACAGCATCAGCAGGACGGTACAGCAGCAGCAGGACGGTACAGCAGTAGTAGGACGGTAGAAGCAGCGGTAGGCCGGTACGGCAGCACCAGGCCGGTACAGCGCGGGTGCAGCAGGCAGGCGGGCGACCCGCCCCGCCGTATTAATAACCTACCTTGTACTAATTACCTGCCCTGCTACTTCCCTCATTATCCAGCCCTACCTGATTACCTGAGAGAGAGAGAGAGAGAGAGAGAGAGAGAGAGAGAGAGAGAGAGAGAGAGAGAGAGAGAGAGAGAGAGAGAGAGAGATTTAAGTGTCAGGGAGAAGACTCAAGGGATAAGGTGAAGTTTAAGTATTAGGGTGAAGACTCAATTGTCAGGGAAAAGGTTCAAGTGTTAGGGTGAAGGTTCAAGTGTTAGGGTGAAGGTTCAAGTGTCAGGGAGACGGTTCAGGTGTTAGGGTGAGGACTCAAGTATCAGGGAGAAGATTCAGGTGTTAGGGTGAAGGTTCAAGGGTAAGGTTAGAGGTCTAGGGTGGGGAGAGGGAGGAGGGGGAGGTAAATAGCTGGGGGAGGGGAGAAAGGAAGGGGAGAGAGAAAGAGCAAGAACATGAGAGTAGTAGAGAGAGAGGGTGAGAGGGGAGAAAGAGGGTGGGGAAGAGAGAGAGGGAGAGGGGAGA